TACTTGACTAAGATTAGTCTAATTTAGAGTTAAAATTTGCTAGAAAAATTAGCTATCATGAATTTTCACCTTACCGGACTAAAAAAAAAAAAAAAAAATCCAGATTAGCTAATCGTTCTATAACGTAATCGTAATAAAGACATATCGGGAACTGTATAATTAGACAAAACCCGGGTTTCGATATGTCTCCGGTTTTTATTTTTAAAATCATGGCCATATCGGATGTCCGATAGGACTATGATTATAGCCCAAATATTCGATGAAGAATAAAAGGTGAAATACATATATATAAATCGGCACTTTAATATAAGAAATAAGCTTCGCTGATGATTAGTAAACATTAATTTTTAATATGTTCACGTGACATTTGGAGTTTAGCGGAGTTTGCTTACCTATTCTATAGAACATCCCTTTAATTTGAATCAAAAATCTCATTTGTTAAAAAAGTGTCAGAGACGGGTTTTCCTAGTCCATTGCCCAAATCGGTTTTAAGTCACATATGGGAAGTCAGGAAAATTGAATAATAAAAAAATTCACATTACAATCATTACAATCGAGTTTCTTAATTCTTTACCCGATTTTTTCCCATAGTGATCCGCGAAATGGATTCACAGGGGCTTAAAGACCTTACATAATTTATAATGATAGAGTGGTTGCCAATTACTAGTTACCGAGATTTCAATGATCTCATGCTGATCCCATCTACAAAGATATACGGAGGTCATCGTTCACACCTTATTGAAGATTTTTATCAAAGGTCATTTTTTTAACGAAATATAGTTAATACAACGATTTTTTTGAAACTATGGAAATTTGGGATCAAGTTTTGATCATATGTCCATATTAATGCAAAGACCCCAAATGATGATACTCGTTTTTACTTATTTGATTATAATTTGACCAATAATTGACCGATATTTTTTGAAAATCACTTAATCGATTATAGTAGAATGTGCAACAATCGCTAATAGTTGTCTATAAAATTTCATAATAAATAAAATGCTTTCCTTAGTATCCATTATCAGTTAAAGCTTATTTTAATAATTAAAGAAGGTTTAATTATAAAGGCTAAGGTGAAAAAATTGGCTATCCTGGCGCACTTGTGTTATTTTGAACTTTAATTAGTGATGTGTGTCATTTAAGACCTATATTAGTATTCTAAATGCACATTACCGTTACTCGCATCATTGATGTCGGTCGGAAATTTTTAGTATTATTTAAACTCCATAAAAAAATAAAAAAAAAAAAGAAATAAATGAACGAGATCGTAAGAAGGAACTATGGGTTAGTAAATAATAATGTTTTCACGTGGGTTATAATTAGCTTATGCTTAAATTGTTATTGTAAAAAAATGCCGGAGTTGTGTTTGAATAATTAAAAGAATGCAGAATCGCAAGATATAAATACAATTAATTTTTATTTTCTTTCTCTAATTATCATTGATACTTCCATGGCCAATACTAAAGTTAACGAGATAGATAACCAGAATGTGGTCGTGGACGATGTGGTAGTTAATCCAAATGCTAATAAACCTGTCAATCCATGGAAACTTATGAGATCGTTAGAGAGGTATCAAATAATGACCTTCACCGCAGCGTTCCTTGGATGGACTTTAGATGCCTTCGATTTCTTCACCGTTTCATTTGCTATACCTTAGTACGTCAAATTTATCTTTTAAATTTCAACATTCTGCATGAAACTTTTACTTATTATTATCATTATTAGTATTGCTGATGAATTTAAAATGAAACCATCTGATATTGCTACAAGGTAATTTTCAAAGTTAATCATATTAACAATTATAAAATATTTTTAAGGTTGAATGAATTAAGCTTTGATTATTAATGAATTATCAAAGGTGAAATATAGTTACTTCCATGATTTATTTATTAATTGTTCGCGTTTAAATTTCGTAAAAGTATTACAGTAACATTGCTACTACGTCCTATTGGTGCATTAATTTTTGGTATACTGGCTGATAAATATGGCAGAAAATATCCGTTAATGGCCGATATCATCTTGTATAGCGTGGTGGAATTAGCTTCCGGTTTTGCTCCAAATTTCCAAGTTTTTGTAGCATTAAGAGCTATTTTTGGAATTGCGATGGGTGGTGAGTGGGGCTTAGGTGCAGCCTTAGCGATGGAAGCTTTACCACCTGAATCTCGTGGGTAAGCAATTATTGTCCGATTAATCTTATCTTTATTAAATTATATACATATATATATATATATTTATATGGTCAATTTCATTTTATTAGTTTGTTCTCTGGAATTTTACAACAAGGCTATCCAACTGGTTACATAATTGCAGCAATATTTTACTATGCTGTAATTAGGACTCTCGGTTGGCGTGCAATGTTCTGGATTGGTTCTTTTCCTGCACTTGTTGTCGTTTTCATGCGATTTTTTGTTCCTGAATCCAAAGCATGGGAAAAAACTCATGAAGCTCGTCGTAGGTCAGTCGACCATAATATGCTCAATGAAGTAAAAAAGGTTTGTTATTTTAATTTATTGTTTTATATTATATATATTTATAGTATCACTAATAGATGCCATTTAGATTGTTAAAGATTATTGGCTGAAAATCATTCACACAATCCTATTAATGGCTGGTTTTGGTTTCACAAGCCACGGTATACTATTCATAATTACATATTATATACTTTACGTGATTTATGTCATTTACATCAATGTTACTTTTTCATCAATAGGCACACAGGATCTTTTCCCCACGTTTCTTAAAACACAACTCTCCTTTTCTCCAGGTATTATACGCTCAATATACTTGTATAACCTCGAATATTCTTTTGAATGAGTGTCACTAAAATTAGTATATTTCATTGTTCTTAGAGGAAATCACGATAACAACTATTATAGCCAACGTTGGTTCTATTATAGGCGGCACAACATGTGGATATTTGTCTCAATATCTGGGCCGTAAGAAAATGGTTATCACAGCGATGATATTAGCTGGTGTTTTTTTACCTTTAATAGCCATTCCTATTAATAAATCACTTGTGACTTTTGGTGCATTCGTTGTTTATTTCTTTGTTCAGGTAAATAATTTATTTCTGATCTTACAAAATTTAATTAAGTTCTTAGATCAATTCATCAATTAGGGTGCCTTTGGTGTTGTACCTGCCCATTTGAATGAGTTATCACCACCAGCTTATCGTGGAATATTTCCAGGATTAACTTATCAATTGGGTACCCTGATCTCTTCTTCTTCTGCTCAAGTTGAAGCATTATTGGGTGAAGCGTTTCCTAAAAATGGTTTACCAGATTATGGACTGACTATAGCGGTTATGTCAGCATGTGCTATGATGGTTGTAATTATATTTATGTCAACTGGAGGAGAAATGAAACATGTGGATTTCATGGAAGAAGCTAGTTTTGAAGAAGCTAGTTTTGAAGAAGCTAATGTTGAAGACATAGAAGTTAATGAAACTAAAAATGCTCAGTAATTTAATATTGTTCTAAAAATTATTTACTTTTCAGATATTTATATATATACTTTTTGATGTAAATTGTACATATAGGTTTAAAGTTGGTTTTTTAAGACCATTATTAAAATAGGAATTTGTTAACCGCAAGTTTCTTTAACCTAAAATGTGCGTACAATTTTCAAAAAAAGAAAACCGATTATAATGTTTAGTTAAAGATTAGTTTTAGGACATAAATATACAAAATCTGTCCTATTACTCCTCATTATATCCTCCGGATACGCTGGCCTAAATTAGGGTCAGGTTTAGGCAATGCGTATATTTTATTTTCTGGATATCCTCTTCTTAAATTTTAATATAAAAATTAATGACTTCTGATTATTAACCTAAATAGGTACCCTTTTCCTTATGATGTTCTGAAACGTATTAGCAATAGGATTATAAATGAAGTAAAAGGTATGAATTAACTTGGTAGTTATAAATTGCTTATTAAGTATCATTAACAAATCCTTTAAACATAAACAATAACAGGGGTCAACAGAGTTGTTTATGATGTT